ATTGTTTAAACACGATTAAGTCACTGTACCCACATAAGTACACAGCATGAAGTTGTTGACTTGATAAATGGAACAGTTACTATTGACTTTATAATCTTACAGAAAGGTAAAGGTGCTTTTGTCTAAAACATTGTTTTTCATCGAGCTATTTTTGGCCTGTTGCAAGATTTTGTTAGATATCCAAAGTTTACAGTTCAGAAAAGGAATATTATTCATTATTTCCTTTGAGGATTTTTGTACAAGAGAATTCCTAGTCATTTTCTTGGCGTGCAGCTCAATATGGATTTAATACAAAACATATATGTAGGAATCTATGGTATTGTGAGCTTGCGGCATTGTCATTCTTGGGGACACTTCCATATACAGAAAACTAACACCAATAATCACAAATCGTGTGACTCAACTTTGAAACATTTAACTGTATTGTCACCAGCCATTATTCAGAATTATGAGGTGAATATTAATTTTAACTGATTTACCGTATGGTGTCTGGGTAATAAGTAACTGTGTTACAATGCTATATTTGTTATTTTATTATGTAGGTAACGAATTTCTGAACAACTTAATAGCTTTGTTCCGAATTTGCTTTTCTATATTTTTTCTCATATTTACACAAAATTGTGTAATATTTCTGACCAATAAAAATTCTGGTCTGAAGACGTGAACTAATTTGTTATTCAAGAAACCGGTAGCATTGTAGGTATTTAAACTTTGTGAGATAAGTTCCATTTCTTTTATTCTATGAATAACAAAGGATTGACCTGTCTACATTGATATTATTATTTTTAATTATCTATTTTCGATCGTTCCTTTCGTTTTTCAGGATTTCTTTATTAGCTTTATGTCTGATTTTTGCTCAGGTGAACTGGGGGTACTACAGGGTTTACTGTTAGGACCCATGTGTAGCTGGTTCATTTAAAATTGGCTGTACATACTTAAATGAAAAAAAAAAACACTTAGAAGACATTACTTAGGGGTCGAAAATTTCTGATAATTTACCTGATGACAAAAAAAAAATACAGGGTGGTCCGTTTTTCATGACTCACCATTAGCATCTGGATACCGTAAGATGTACAGGGTGGCTCAGATTAGAAAAAAGTTGTGTCTTTTCAGGGTCATTAAAATAAATCAAACAGATCAAAGACGTCTTTCCTGAATTATTGTGAAAAAACTGAAAATAGCGATTTTAGAAAATGCCATCTAGCTTCCTTATTTCGCAACAGAAAGTGCTGAAATTTGGTACAGGGGGATAAGAAAATACGAGCAATCCATTTTCGTCGTCGAAAGAACATTTCTACGGCCACTAGATTCAGTTATGCAACATTCAATTGTTTTTTTCTTTTGGCCGCCATATTGGATCTTGGCAGTAATAGATAGAGAAAAAAATTACGAACAAGTCAATATATAACACTACTATTTTATTTGAAGAATAACCCATAAAAGTAAAGAAATTCAATAATTTATTTAAAAAATTAATAAAATCTAGTTGTTCTTGACGTAAAACTAAAATCAACAAACATTTTGACAGATTCGATTGTGAGCCATGATAAACGGACCACCCTGTATATCTTCAAAATTCTAAAGCCATAAAGGCTTTAAATGGTCCTTAATTCATAAAATTAAACTATACATTTTTACAAATAAATCGATATAAATAATATTTGATATACAGGGTGTCCCTAAAAAGTATGTACAACGCACCACCAGAACGGCTCAAAATAAGTCGAATTAAGTAAACTCGCCTTAGTCCAAAATTTAATAAAGCTATAGGGTGTTAAAGGTGAAAAAATAAATAACATTTTCTTTAATATCTTTCGACTACTTGTAGCTAATTTCATGATATATCGTATCCGGAGTTTTTTTGGGATGATAAATTCGAATTTATCGACGTATCTTCTAGAGGGTGCCACAAGCGACTATTATGACGTATTTAAACTGCCAAAACTTTTTTGTGCCACTGTGTATTTCAATTTGGTCTCGAAAATTCTTTTTCCACAACTTTTCTGTTTAACCGTTATTTTTATGAATATTCTCCTTATATCTTTAATTATTACTTTCTACTAATTAATATATTTTAAATAAAGTTAAAAATACTAAACTAATAATAAAATGTATATTAAAAAAGTAACAAAAAGGCAAATGTTAGTTAGGTAAAAAATATAATTTTCATTAATCTAGTCATATTATCAATAGATTGTCGTTTCAAAATGTAATTTTCGCTAAAAGTTTAGTGTTTTATTGTTGTATTAAAATCATCTGCAAGAGGCCACTTAAAAGTAAAAGTAAGTAAAATATAGCAATAGTAATATCTTCTATCTATCTATCGTAGCTATTTTTCTTATTAGTCTTTTTTAGAAAAAAATGATANAAAATCATTCGATAGAAAAATTCACATGCTAATAGTTTTTATATTTATTGGTAATATTCAATTCTTCATTTTGAGCGTCTTTTCAACCTCTAAATAGGGGTGATTTTTTAAATTTTCAAAAAACTAAAAGCTATGCTCATTTTAGTTTTTTACAAATAATTTGCGACCAAAAATATATTTTTATGTATTTAATTCTCTGCGAATTGTGAAAAAACAGGCGAAAATCACAGGTTTTTTGCGGTCACTCTTTGGTTAACACAACTCTCTCGGTTTCGACATGTTTTCAGCAAAGAAAATTGAATAATTCCAAATATTTCGGATTTTCACCACCAAGAACGGCGGTGACAACATTTTTAATATTAAGGCGATGTTTCACATTGTATTAGCCATGTAACGTCCAAATTTGGTTAACGCAACTCTCTCGGTTTCGACATGTTTTCAGCCAAGAAAATTGAATAATTCCAAATATTTCGAATTTTCACCACCAAGAACGGCGGTGACAACATTTTTAACATTAAGGCGATGTTTCGCATCGTATTAGCTACTATGTCCTATACAAATTTAGTATCGTACAACTCTCTCGGTTTCGAGAATTCAATACCTATGTATGTTTTCAGCCACGAAATTTGAATAATTCCAAATATTTCGAA